TCCCAATAGAAGAGAATTGCTGGGAATATTAGCTCAGATTGGTGCTTGAAATATGTACGTATATTGTAAACTGAGAGACCAATATGTTTGAAAACCAACMGTAGCTTGCTTATTGAAGCACCTGCCATTAGAGTTGAAAAGCTCAATAAAATATTTCCAGCTGGATACCTATAWTAATAATAAATGAAACAGAGATCTTATTGAATTAATATTGGTATTTTACTATATAAATAGTATGAAGAGGTAAGGTAGAGCCAATCCCTATCTCTTCAAAGGGATGAAACTGAAATTAGCATATTATTAGCAATTTCTATAGAATAGACAATTCTTAATACCTGCCAAGAATTAAAGGCTGTGACCTCCATTGATAATCTTTCTGACAGTGGACACAACTCTGTATGACAGAAACCATAGTGCCATTCTTTTTCATAGCTTGGTCTGATATCAATAATATTATTTTTTTAATTAAGGAAAAGTTTGCCAATGTTAGATATCATCATACCTGAGGGTTTTCAGACTTGCAGTTAAAGCAAACCAAAGAAAATAGTATCAGCAGCTGAGAATAAAAGACAATAAATTTGGGCTCTCTTGATAATGGCTCTTCAGGATTAAATCTACAAATACAATAGCAGAATGCATTCAGACATGACTATAASTATCATTGACATTTCATAAAATTTTGAGAGTGTACCTAACTTCATTTTTTGATCCAATGTCATCATCAAATTCGGGATCTTCTTTGTAATCAGTCTCCTCGCCTGATTGCAAACTGTCACTGTAATTTTCGCTGAGAGAGAAGTCACTGCCATCCTCTGTAGAACTAATGCTGGAATCATTACTTGAGGTTTTCATACTTTTATTATCTTGACAATCATCATCATCATCATCAGGTGAAGACAGACATTCTGAGCTAGAATGGGAGCTAGAGCTATCTCCATTGTCCAGTTCTCTCTAAATCATGATATGTTAAAGTCAGGTCAGTTTAAAAAAAAAATTAAGCTTAACTTAAGGTTAAGCTTATAAATTAAGCTTTAAAGCTCACTTAAAAGAGAAGTAAGCCTACTTTAGACTGCTTACCAAAGATATAACTTCTTTTCGAAGTTTGCTGCATCGCTTTTGGCAATTGGCGATCTTCTTTTTAAGTTTTTCACAATTAAAACAAACTGGCTCYTGGTTACGAGGAACAGCAGATGGCGTAGAGTAGGAGTTCCCAAGCTTGTTCTCTTGTAATTCATAGTCTTTTTCATGCACGTCCTCAATTTCTCCTTCAGATGCATGCAGGTTTTCGATTTGCGAGTTCAGAGTAAGACTACCGACAGCTTCACGTAAGATCTATTGGATTTCACAAATAACAATGTCACTTTAGCAAATCTTATTTTAATTCTAAAGGCCGAGAGAAAACAAAGCTGTACTCACGTATCGTTTTTCGCGAGGCGTGGAAGTGTATTCCTTTTTCGTTTTCTGTTCTTCGTTTTGCAATTGAAGAGTAGGTACTGCCTCTCTAGAAAGAGTTCTTTTGATGTTCTTTGAGTTTCCTGATACCTCCTCCCCAAGCTCTTGWAAGGTAAACCTTTGGTTGAAGCAAGATGGTTCGAAGTGGGTTGAACAAAGTGCCSAATATTTCGTTGGGTTAAACTCTGGTCTGTGGATTCTCACGAATGACGTCCACTGTTTTCTACGTTTAGGGTCTTTTGGGAAAACATGCATAGAAATTCCCTTTGTGTAGCTCGTATTTTTGCAGCTTATTTTATTTGATCCGCCAGCTACGCAATAAAGGCCGCCATGCTTCGTTTTGCWCTCCGCCATTTTTGGCAAAACCGGCTCCTTCAAATGGTGTGACGTCACAGCCATCAAATACCGCGCGAAAAAATATTCGCCAATGCCCGGTCAACTTTCGTCGAAAAAAATACGATTTGAGTTGCGTTTCTTTTTGGTTATACTTATCGTTTCGTTTTTATTAATATTTGAACTAACATTTCGAGTATTAATAATTTTTGAGGCATATACACTTTAAGG